AAAAAAAAAAAAAAATTACATAGTGAAAAATCATATTTAATCGTTCATTTGAAATTTGATAAAGATTTTAATTAATTTTTTTTTTTGTCCAAAATTGCTTATGTAACCTGAAAGAATAATAGCTCCATCAGCATTAAAAGCTAATGCTGTTATAGCTGATTCCGTTTTCAATGAAAGAAGAGAATTTCCGGTTGATGTTGCCCAAATAATAATTTGTGAATCTTTCGCACCACTAATAATTATATTTTCATTGTCTGCGATAGCACAACACATTACTGTTTCTTCATGTCCAACAAGTACCTATAAATGATTGATTGATTAAAATTGTAAATGTTATGAACAATTGACATGATGACAATTTATTACTGTATCATGTGACATTTTGTCATTTGTATTCCTTTTTTTTTTTTTTTTTTCTTCCTCCCACCCTCCCTCAACCCAGTTAATTTAAACTTTGTGGAAAAAAAAAATAAAAATTATTTGTTTCTTTAAACATCCAAACTTCATCAATGTCGTAATTATGTCATTGTTGTAATTATTTTGTCGTGTTTTTTTTTTTTCGTTTTTTATTAATAGTATAAGTAAATATAAATTGAAAAGATCAAAAATTATTGATTGAGTAAATGATAGTCTTTATCAATGTCATAATTATATCATATCATTGTTGTCAATTTCGTTTTTCTTTTTTCTTTTATTTCTTATTTATAAGTATCCATTGAAGAGATCAAAAGTTATTGATTAAATGATTGATAGCAACAGGCATAATTACGTTTTTTATGAATATTATATTATATTTGCTCAATTATAAGCAAGATATTTTCGATTTAATTATATCTTACTTCTTATAATTACAAAGAGTTAATGAGAATTAAGAGATAATTACTGTAATGATAAAAATATATGATTATCATTACCTGCATAAGGAGGCCAGTATTGGTTTGCCAAAGTTTTAAGGATAAATCAGCTGAACCGGTTACAAGTAAAGTACCTTTTGATGAGGTATTAAAACATGTTATTTCATCGTTATGACCAATTTCCGCTTTCATTATAACACTTTCATCCTCAATTGACCATATCTTCAATCTGATAAAAAGTTTTTTGTTTATTTTTCTTTTTCCAAGCTCTTAAATTAGGAACAAATTTTTTTTATTTTTTTATTTATCAAAATTACTTCATATTCCTTCTAGTATTTTCTGCAGTTTTGCACTTTTAATTAATCCATTTCATGGAAGTTTTCACTTGCTCAAACAATTATTATTTGAAGCAACAATGAAATAGCAATAATTTTTTACATTGATCCTATTTTTAGCTGACAAATGAGTTGACCGTTGACAAAGTTTTTTGAAGACCAAAATACAACCATATATGATCCGTTCGTTATACGATAATGTCATCAATAAAAGTAGATAAAATATCGTGCACTCTTATTTCTAACAATTACGGACGACAGTTCCACCGTTACTTTTTTTTTTTTTTTAACTTTGCAATAAAATTTTTTGTATTTTCAAAAAAAAAAAGAGATTCCTCTCACTTTTTTTTTTTTAAATAAAAATTTTCACTGTTCATTGGTTTATTTCATTAGCACATACAAAACATAAATAAACGAAATTCTTTCGAATTTCGTTTCATCCTTAAAATATAAAAACGGAAAGAAAAATGAAAAAGTTACTCTTTTTTATTGCTTGGAAAATATCCAATTAAATAGGTATTGTTTGGTGGCATGAAAACTGGTGCTTGAATACCGGTAAATGCAAGGATTCGATCCGCTTGGAATGTTTCATCAGCACCGAATAAATTCCATATCAGTACAGTGTTAGACTGATCAACTGATAATATTCGTTCACCATCAGATAAGCAAAAGATTGATTCTATGGCTTTGCTATGATGCTATAAAAGGAAAAAAAAAAAATTATATAAAGAAGATCTTCATCAATAATTCAAGTTATATTTCAATTTCTTTCTAAAGTAATTATAAATCCTCAATTTTTTTTTTAAATGTTAGTTTAATTTACTAATTATTTGTGGATTTTAAACTTGTCTTTCCAAGGCAATTTTAACATTTTCTAAATAAAATTTTAAAAATCTTAATGAAGAAAAAATACTTCAAACAAAGTTTATATGAAAAGTATAGCAGTACAATAGATGAGATATAGACATGGATAAACATACATTAACGATTCGTCTTAATTTTCCATTACTTGAATTCCAAATATTAATTTGACCTTCGGCATCACCACTTAGCAAGAAAATAGAATTGATGGAAAATTTTACACGAAATACTGGTACGGATCGTTGTTGAATCATCTGAAAAATAGCATCATAATTGATTTCGTTCTTTCCTTTCTGCTTCACTTTTTATGGATTTGAATTTTAAATAAATTTTAAGAAAAGTATTTGGAAATTTTTGGCTTCATGTATTACACTATCATTCATATCGTTTTTTTTAAAGTGGTTAGTGAAAAAAAAATTAAAAAGTTTAGATTTCATCAAATTATTTTAAACTTTTCCTTTATTTTTTTTTACAAATTATTTTGTAAAACGAACTGTACGAATACAATGACATATTTCTAAATCCCATAATGCCACAAAACCATCACTTGTTGAACAAGCAGCACTTTTCTCATCAGGTGACATACATACATCGGTTACAGTTTCTACAAAATTCTATAAAATCAAAAAAAATTTTGACTTTTTTTTAGCGAATCATTTAAAATTAACGGGTAATTACTAGTTTACATTAATAAAGGTTCGATAAATAGGCTTCCTGTTTTTATTATCAGGTATTGCTTGTTTGTCATTAAAATAATCTTTTTCTTTGAAAAGAACCTTTTATCAAATAACTTTTTTATCAAAATCAAAATTATCAAATAACTTTTTTCTTTGTTGGCACTTATTTCATGACGCTGACTTTGAATATTCCAAATACTGATTCGATTACCACATGCTGATAGTAAGAAGTAATTATCACTCGTAATCTAAATAATTTCCTTAAAAAAAAGGAAAAGAAAAATAAAAATATTGTGAAATTTGAAAAATCTAAATTTCGAAATTAGGAATTTTTAAATGATTAAAATATAATCAAATCCTTGTGAGTAATTTGATTATGCAATTTATTTTACTGATATTTAAAAATAAATTAAAATAGCTGAATGCAAAATGATACTTTAAGTGATGTAACCGGTTGTCTATTGATACAATTCAGGATATCCAAAAGTTTCCTGCTATGTATATCAAAAACATAAATCTTTGCAAATGTTCCAGCGAAAAGTTGGCAATCATCATATGCTGCAACCATTGAAACAATTTTTCCATCATGACCGGATAATTCATGTAATTTTTGACCGGATACTGTTCCGAATACTTTTAATGTTTCATCTTCACAAGCAACTACCACAAATGCATCGTTGCTAAAGAAATGAAAGGTTTAATTTATCTTAAAAATTACGATTGAATAAGCATAAGATAAGCAAGTCGATGTTATTTCATCAAGACAAAAAAAAAAAAGAAAAAAGGACGAAGAAATGATATTAAAGAAATCTGAAAGTTTTACCTAGTCATTGTCATGCATGATACCGGTGCCATAAGACCAGGTAATCGAACAGCTAATTCACCGGTTGATAAATTCCATACAATAACGACAAATTCGCCAGATCCTGAAATTAGCAATCAATACCGATGCATAATTCATTAATGATTTATATTTCAAAGTTTTTTTATAAGTCTTACATACCGGTAACCAAAAATTCATCATTTGATGCAAGCGCTAATGATACAACAGTTCCTGTATGATCTTTGAAAGATTTTACAACTTCCCAATTTTCCACCGATATTACCTGAAATTTTTTTTCTTTTTTTTTTTAGTAATATTTTCAATTAAACATTTAATGGTTTGAAATTGAAATTATCACATTGTAGCATTTAAATGATTTATGAAAATGCTCACATTGGCACATGCATCACTACCACCAGTGATAACATATTTGCAATCAGAAGTTATCAATGAGCAAATCACTCGACCTTTATGTGGTTTTAACACATGTGTTGCCTCATCCTGTAATTATTATTGCTTGATATGATTTGAAATAATTGTTCATATCAAATCAAATTTAATTACTGCTTTTGTACATAGCAATTTTGTTAACTAAAGGAGTTAATTGGGGGGGGGGGGGGGGGGGGAGGAAAAAAAAAAGACTAGCATTATTTCCGATAAATTATGCAGCATTAATCTGTCCGGAAAATTATAATAATATTTCTTTTTTTTTGGCAAAAAAAAAATTTAAAAAAACCAAGCCGATTTAAAAAAAAAAGCTAATTTGCTACTTATCAATGATGCAACATTACCGTTGAAAAATTCCATATTCTAACAGTAGAATCTGTTGATGTTGTTACAAAAATGCTCCATTACTGCTAGCAGATATTGATGTGATACGTCTTTCATGACCTGAAATAATAATTTCGAGTCTTTTTTTTTTCCTTTCTACTAACCTAACATTTTTTTTCCTCGTTTTCATAACCTAAAATATTAATAAAAACCGAACCTTTTTACTAACCTAAAATATATCAAAATTGATTAAAATGCGACATTTCGACATTTTCTACTAAATTGAAATAACAAATAATAATAAATGCTTAATTCTGAAGTATTCATTTCTTTGCAATCATTTGAGGAAGAGAAAAAATAAAAGTGAATTAATTTATATGAATTTAATTTCGATATATTCATTCCTTCTTGACCATGTAATCAATAAAGTTTAAAAAAAAAAAGAAAAAATCAACATACCCTTAAATGTACGAATTAATAATTGCGATGTAATATGATACATATACACTAAACCAATTGTTGATTCATTTCCAGCAATTAGTAAATGTTGATGATTATATGTTGGTTGCATAATTGTATATGATGAACGCCATTCTGGTAGTGTAAATGATAAAATCTTAAAATTTCTATGAAAATGATTTTTTTTTTATAAAAATGAAATTCGAACAAAATTAATTATTCTTAATTTTATGGAAATCTTAATTAGTATTATAGTTAGTATTAGTATTATAGTTAGTATATAGTTAGTATATATAATTAGTATTATAGTATTATGAATTATTTACATTTTCAAATTAACGTACCCGCTCAACTTTTTTTGGTGGTATCCAACATGTTAACGGTACTAATAACGGTTGATCATGATATCTGTCAACCCATAACATAGCTTGCTCAACCAGTACATTCAAAAATTGACTGTTTGTTGCTACAAAATGTACACAAAAAACAAACATTTATATTTTATTATTTATTTAATTATTCAATTTAATTACTGCAGTATATTTACTAAAGAAATACTTCTTTTAATGATAATAACAATAATAATAGTTAATAATAGTAATAATAACAATTCCAATTATAAATTAATTAGCTCCTAACCTCGTGTATATTGTAATCTATTAATCAGTTCAGCAGCCAATTGATTAGGATCACGTGTAATTGTATTTAACGATGGAAATATAACTTGTTGAAATAACACCTTAAATAAAATATATAAAACAAAATAATAAACTTTTTTTTTTTGTTCTTTCTCATTGTAAATATCAAATTTAGCCTATAAAATATAGTAGAATATGTTCAGCTAAAAGATTTCGATAAAAATTAATAAAAAATTTTAATAACAGGACGAGTAATTATTAATAATAATGATAAATTAGTAAGATTAGATTATAGGATAATATATGACTATTATTGTTAGACTAGATCACTAGTAATTTAAGTTTATAAGTCAACTCTGAGCTTATAGTAATGTGTCATTTTATCTCGAGTTTTTTTTTTCCCATCTTCTCATTCGATCAATTCTTTGCTTTCTATTAATTTCTTTTTAAATGATTGCTCAATCAATGATTTAATATTCATATATCAATAGAATAATTGGAATTTGAAATCTTTTTTCTTTTTTTTTTGTTTCTTCTTTTTATTTGAATTTTTAATTTGAAATATTTGAACGAATTATTTAAAATACTTTCTGATATTAGCAAGGAAACAATTAACATAGTTCATCCATTAATATATATGATAAGCTAATAGCTAATTATTGTTAAGCTAATAATTTGTCAAAAATCATAATTTATTGCGGTTGTAAGAATACCTGTATATCATGATGCAATACTTGCATGCAACATTCTTCATAAACACTTAAGAATTGGAAAATTCCGCATGCACGAATGTATGCTTCAACATATTCGAAATGACAAAGAGCAAATCCTTTCAATTCATCCATATTACCTAATTTAATTTCGATAACTTTTATCAAAAATTTGAAAATATTCATTGATAATTTTCAATTATAGTTTACAACAAGGTTTTCAAATTCTAGTTTTCAAATTTCAAATTAGTTTTCAAATTCTATTTAAGCAGAAAAAAAAACACATTGTTAAAAGTAATGCTTTTAAGCTTTTGGAAAGAAATTGAAATAATTTACCAGTATAGAGTAGATGATACCATAAATTGCGTACTTTACGTAAGTTTACCGTACCATCATCTAGTTTCAATGGTCGCGGAAATGCTGGAATTTCATTTGGTGAAGGTAGTAATGAACAAATCGAATGGGTACTGTCAACATCAGCAAATAAATGCGCAATTAATCCATGAGTTTTTATCACTTCTCTCTAGAATAAGGATATATATGTGTGTATATTATCCTTTAAATATATTTTAAATTTAAATTTAAATGACCTAAAACATTTAATTTAATTTTTTAATCGACAACATTTGGAAAAAAATGATGCAAATAGATGATAATCAAAGTAGAATTGTTAAATTAGCAAATGATATAATCATTCTAGTTGCTAATGACATTAAATGGAAGCTCCATTACTAAACAAACCAACAAACTTTGAAAGAAAAAAAAATTTCTTTCCAAACAGTTCAATTTTTTTAGCTAATTAAAATTTCCTGAATTGATTTTTTTAACTAATTAAAATTCCCTGGGTCAAGTTTTTTTTTTTTTTAAATACAAAATAAACCTGATTAGTTAAATAACGACGACGAGCTATATTTATAATAAATAAATGACTCCATTTGTAAACAAGACGATTTCCATATACAAATTCAACAATAAGGCATCCTAAATTTTACTTTAACAAATAATATTTAAAGAAAAAAATACTATGAATTGAGATATTTTTCAAAGCTTAAGAAATATGTGACATGTTGATCGGAAAATTCCAATTTTAATTGTCAAAAATTGTAGTTGACAATTGATCGGTTTAACCGTTCCACTGCATGTGACAAATAAAATGAATGGAAAAAATGTAAAGAGAAAAATGATCGAAACAAAAAAAAAAAATAATTTGTAAACCCAGTTTATCAATAACTGAATGAAGTCGTAATGATAATGATGAATTCGCGATAATTTCAGCATTCAATTCACCACTTGCCGTTAATGCATCCAAAATTTCCAAAGTAGTAAGCCCATGTGGTGTAACAATTAAAAGTTGCGCAAAGATTTGTACAAATAAAACACCATTATCATTTTCAATATGACAAAAGCGCTCATCAATATCACCAACAAGTGAACGATTAGTTCCATCAGTAATTTGTTTGAGTAATAATTGAGCAATAATAATGTTATTGTTATTGGCTTTAACCTAAAATCAATGTTAAACATAAGTTTTATCAATCTTTTAATTAATTATAATAAATTTAAGCTGAAAAATTGAAACTACATTTGAAAAATGGAATTTTTTAAATCAAAAAATAAAAGAACAAAAAAAAACGTACAATTTTCTGGATTTCATCTATTTGTTGCTTATTCAATGTATTATCATCGATATTTAATTTAACATATTCCATGATATCATCGGTTGTAAAATCCGGTAATTCAAACAGGATTGGTTCATGATGCATAAATGGTATTGTTATTGGATGATTTGTTGTACATATTAAAACAAGATTTGCTAAACATTTCCGGAATTGTCGGTCTAAATTACTCATCACTTGTCCATATTTGATCAAATTAGCATCATCAATTAGCACAAATACTGGTCGATTTAATTTTTCCAACAATGATTTGAATATTGCAAGTGTTGATGATAAATGAAATGATCTTATCAATGGTTCGGTATCTTGACCTGTTAGAGTACATAATGTCATGCATATTCCATGCCATAATTCATGCGCATATTCTGATGCAGATGTTAAATTAATAAACCTAAAAATTTTAATATTGAATTAATAAATTTAAAAAAAAAAATTTTAAATTGCATAAAGTATATAATTGTTTAATGCAAGAAAAAAAAAAAAAAAGAAAAAAGTTCGTACCTAATGATAACACAACGACCTTTGTTAATTAATACACCATACAATTGGCATAGAAGAGCTGTTTTGCCAGAAATTTCATCCCCTAAAATATGAAAGTATCCTTTGCTTTTATTGATCCAAATATCAAACATCTTATCGATATTCTCCCTGATTAGCCATTTCTTTGGTTGTTGTCGTTCAGCAAATGCCAAATGTACATCATTTTCAGCTTTTGCTACAGAATATTCATCATTCAACGGTTTTGTTGGCATACTTAATGAGGAAATGAAATTTTGCAAATGATCTGTTACCTGTAAATATAATTAGCAAGCAAATGTAACCAAAAGATAAACAATAAAGTAAACAAATAATTTACACAAATAAAAAAATAGAAAAAAAAATTAAAAAATTTTTGTAAAATAAAAAGGAAATAATAATTTTATAAAATTTTGAAACAATTTCATGAAACTATTCAATCTTTTTCTTTTTAAATGAATATTTTTAAATTTTCAAGTACAATTAATTTTATTATATTATATTATAAATACTAATTTAATTTTAAAGCTTTATTTTTTTTCTCTTTTTTTTATTTCTCAGTATTTCAAATTTAAATTCCATTTTTTTTTCGATGCAAAAAAATAAAAGAAAAGGAAAGTAAATGTAACCTCTCGTATAAACCATTTAATATAATTATTATTATTTCGCCCATCCGTACATTGTCTTCCAACTGATTCCATATTTAGTGAAATTATTGATGCTTTACTTAAGCGAACAGTTTCTTTCAATGCTTCAATTTTTCATGTCTTTTTCATTCCCAAAATCAGCCTGTTTTGTATCATCGATATTTGTCGTTTGTATATCTATTATAAAATATTAAAGTTAATTTCAATTTTTAATAAAGTTATTCTTTTTTCGTTTGAAAAATAATTAATCAATTAAAAACTTGTTATGTTTTAATTAACCAATTAAAAACCTGCTGTACTCCGGAGACAAAACAAAACTTTGTTTGGTTCAATTAATGCTATTTGAGTAATTTGTTCTGCAGCAGATGGGAAAAGATTTTGTTGTTGTACTTCCAGTTGTTGTTCCTGATTGTTATCATCTTGTGATATCTAAAGAAAAAAAAATCATTTATTATTGTTATCTTTTTGAGTAAAAACAATCAATCAGCTATTCATTTAAAAGTAACAAATGATAATTGTTATTTTCTTTTGATTTAAAAAATTTCCAAACAAATATTTGGAAATTAATTAAACAAAAAAAAAAAAGTGGGAGAAAAAAAAAGAAGGGAGGAAAAACTTTTTTCAAAAAAAAAAAAAAACCTTTTACAGCAGCTTGTTGTAAAATAGATGTAAGCATATTTCGATCAGCTAAATTAATTGGCTCATCTAAGAGCTTATAATCCATTGATTCCATTTCTTCACATTGTTTATAATACCGATAAAAAAGCTCAATTTCTGTAAAAAAAAAAAAGACAAAAGACTTATCTATTTTGCTATTCAAATAAATTTGTAATTGTCGAAAAAAAAAAATTTAACTTTTATCACCAATTTTTTGGATTGTTTAAATTGAAACATAATATTCCTTATGCATTCAAAATCCATCATATTATTTGAAATTACAAAATTCAAATTACATCTCAAAACATACCATTGCTTGTTTCTGAAAATGCTGCTTGAATTATTTGAAATTTTTCGATTGAAATTTTCTTTGGTAGAATACATTTCCCGTATTGATCACCCAGGAAGCACTTAAAATATTGAATTAATAAATTCATTTAAATAATTCAAAACTTAATACAGGAAAATTTAAAAGATTTTTAACAAATTTAAAATACTATAATACGAACCATAAGAAATGAAGTACACTTTGAGAATACATTAAGGACAGCTTCAAATGTTTCCATATCCAAGCTATCTGTAACTGGTTCCACAAATTCCACATCAATACCAAGTTGTAACGCATAATGTTGTATATCAATTGCAACATCTTTCACTAATGCTCGATATTCTCGTTCAAATTCTGATAAAAAAAAAGAAAAGAAAAAAGTAAAAAAAAATAGTTTTTAAATTTTTAATTATTATTTTTAAAATTGAAATTATTTGATATAATTGGGAAATTATTAGTGCTAATTACCGAGAAATTAAGAAAAAAAAGTTACAATTGAAAATTTGGTAAAAATTTAATTGTCCGAAATTATTTCTATTATGTAATGCAATATATATTTTATAATTTTACTGCATAGTTTTCACGAATAATTTATAATCTTATTTAGTATTAAAATTATATAATTTAAATTCATCCCATTTCTTAAGCTAATTATTCCACGATAATTTAATAAATTATTAATTTTGATCAAGTATCTACGAAATATTTGCAAATTTGTACTTTAATTTTTTCATAAATTACGATAATTTTGCATAAATTATTGAATAAAAATGAAATAGTGAAAAATGAATAAATAAAAAAAGAAAAAATTTATAAATATACCTTTTAAAGATGGAAAAAAAATTATGATACGTGCTTGTTGCAAAATTTTTGTGGAATATTTCGATTGTTGCAATTGCTTATCATTAATATCAGCATTAAGATGTGAATTTGTCACCACGGATTCAGCATTGAGACGAAACATGGAAATTACTAATTATCACACCATATAATTCAACCAACCATGTGACCATAGCAACATCGATATCTATAAAAGAAAAATAAAAAAAAAAACATGAAAGTTTCTTTTTCTTTTTTCCTTCCGTTTAATTTTTTTTTTTAAATTTTATTATGAACTTTAATTAACCTAATTTTTCAATTTGCTAAAATACATAATGTTATATTGGCTGAACACAGACGAACATATGTGTTTTATCTAACAAACAAACGAAAATTTAGCATTGCTTTATTTAAAGTTTATTTATTATTAATT